AGTTGCAATTCTTCCCTAAGTAGCCGAACTATAAATTCAACAAAACATTGAAAAATGTCAATAGGCGAAGATCAGATAATGCTTTATATAAATCATTTAATAAGGAATTCTGAAGTAAATTTTTTGTTTGAGCTCAATATCGAGTTACAAAATCCCTGTAAATAATAAAAAATACCTTTTGCATTCAAAGCATTTCTTTGGGCTTCCAGACGTCTCAAATTTTGCGTTTTCTCATTTATTATTAATTCTGCCTCCTCGATCTTGGTCTGATAATAATTTTTGATTCCTTCTCTACCCATTGTCGAAAGTAAGCTCAAATTATAGAGTATTTCGCGAATTTATATCCAATCATTACCGATCTTTCCCAAGTTGTGTTACCTCAGAGCCAATATATTACGTACGTACGTACGTATTTCAGTACTTACCAGTCGGACAAGATGTCACGCAGATCAGGGGGGTAAATTTTTTACTATGAAATTTGAGTGATCGACACTTATATGAAATTCTCGATTTTCATAGTAAATTACAACGGTAGGCCATTTTCAATCGTCGTTTTCAGGGGTTTCCTAAAAGGAAACCGCATTTTGGACAGCATGAAATAATTCGACACAACAGATTCTTTAGTATCCTTACGTTTAAACTAAGAAAAATCATAAACTCGAAGAGAATCTTGCTTTCAAAGATGCCCTTTTGTTTCATAATCTAAGTAATAGTCAAAATCTAACTTTATATAAAAATGTCTACGACAAAGAACGAAGTTACCGGTAAACTTCTACATTAAGATTTAAAACTATTTAACCATATAAACTTACAAAATTGTTAACAGCATATTTTTTTAGGTCATGTTTTGAAAGGAGGAAAAACATTAGTCAATTCGCTTCGCAAGAATGCCACGTTGACTTCTCTGGGATGTACTTTGCAAGAATACTACGTCGGCTTCTCTGGATCCTAGAAATAATAAACTTGGACCAGAAGAATGAAAAGCATTAGTCGATGTATTTTCAAAAGCATCTCGTTGACTTTTTTGGGTTTTAATTGAAATAATAAATTTGGTTAGAAGGATAAAAAGCATTAACCGATGCACTTTGCAAGAATGTCACCTGGATCTTGGAATAATAAACTCGGCTCAGAAGGACGAAAAGTTTAATATGTAGATTGTAACTTTATTGATTAAGTTTTTTTTTTTTTTTAGCAAAAACAACACTGCAAGTTGATTTATGGTAAATTATTTGTTTAAATTTTTTAAATTTTTGGTTTATTAAATTTTTTTGTTATACAATATTTTCATATAACTTATTATTTTTGAGGTATCTTCTTTAATCTCTTATATATATTATACTACCGATTCCCTAGGCAATATAGTAGAATTTTATATATTTCAGCTGCTTCAAAATACTTTTTCAGGTTCAGTTTTGTGTATTATGCACAGTTTTCGAGATTGGTTTCGTTCGTGGGTTCTTGTTTACTGACCGATCTTCAGTAAACTCAGAAATTAAGAGGTTAAGTCGTTCATTCTCTGCTTGTGCAGCTTTAGAAACATTTGGCACAAAATTCATAAAAGAAAATATCGAACATAAAACCAATGTAGAGAATCTAAAGTGAAATATCAAATCTGCTGAAGAAATAGATGATGAATTAATTGAGAGTAACGAATTGTTTGAA